TGTTCGAAATTTCTCTAGCCTATATAAAATACCTAGCCACATGTTCAACAGTGGATTCAGTGGTATCCCCCGAAAACTTAGTGAACTTAGGGACTTTCCATCTAGGTGGCAAGTATGATTGTAAAATATATTCTGATAATGGCGGAATATAGTTTGGTCTCTGAAGACCAATATTTACTTCGTTTCGTGCCATTATCCTTTTGACCATGGCTGCTAGATTGTTATCTGCGGCCATATCATCACGTCGAATATGTTGTATAACATTATCAATATTTTGGTCCCTATTTACCATTACTACCCTAGGTCTCTCCTTGATGGGAATTTGAGGTTGGGCTCTAGGAATTTCAACTCTAGGTTGTTCGAATGCCACTCTTGCATCGGTTAAATTTGCATGGGGCAGACTTCTTTGGTTTTGTTGAACCTAATTAATAGTGGGAACCTCTTCAAGGGATACTCTCTGATTTCAATATGTATTCTCTCTGTGGATGTCGAGGAGGTTGTGATACTCCAAAAAATCTTCAAGGCGCGTCATCTACGCCATTACTTGTTGGTTGGATAAAGTGGTGCTTTGTATTAGGGGATTAAGAATTGTTCCCATTGTTTGAGCCAACATTTGTTCCATTTTGTGGTTACTCTCATCCATTTGTTGCCTAATGACTGTTGTAGAGTTATTGGTCAAGTTTGGAATTTAGATAGAATATCCCACTCCTATAGGTTGGCTATTCCAACCCATGTTTATCCCAGAGCTTGGCCCTTGTAATGGTGAAGTAACGTTTACTACAGGTTCTGAGAATGTTTAGGCGATGTTGGCATTCCATATGGTTGATCTTGATTGCCAAAAGGTATAGAGAAACCTAGGGGCATGAAAGACCTATTTGAAGCAATCCCCACTGGTGGAGGAGTTGCTGGAGGGCCCATTGGCCCAATATAATTTAGAATGGGATCACTATGGGTAATCGATTGCATGGGCATCAAACTTTCCATAGATGGCATTGCTTCAGATACAGTCACTGGGACCATTGCCGCCCCAATCGAAGACACTTAGGGTTGTTCTCGATTATTACTCGATGAACTTTGAGGAATTGAAACATTTAGCTGGTCGGGATTCACCATTTTCTTAGTATACCTTCTCCTTGGTCTATCCTCGTTACTAGTGGCTACTTTTCCACTTCTCAATAACATGCAACGAAATTTTCAAAGAGAAATGATAACAAACAAAATTGCGCCAAGAAAACTACTAGAATAGTCCCACTAGACGTGCCAATTTGTTTATTGGAAAAAATAGTAAACAACCATTGGTCTTTCCGATTAAGAGAAGTTGGGTTATGTAGAGGATCGACCACACAAATCCTAAGACATGTGCTAGCAAATCTTAATTTAAAGTTTGGGAAATAATGAAGATTTCAATATTATCCATGATCTAACAACTAAAAACTTCGAAATTTAGAAGAAGTATAGTGCAGAAACTAGATCAAAAGACAATTAAATAAATTGAATAATAAAGAGATAGACTTTGTGGTAAAAAAATGATATTGGCATTAAAATATAAAGATATGGTGTAATCAAGCGTACATTTTCTTCGACATACTTTTTTTCTCTACATGCGGATACTTTGAGTAATTTCAGAAATTTTGTACAAATTTTGGAACACACATATCCTAACACTAAACCCTTCTATTTATAATAATAACAAATAACCGACCCTAACGGTTATACAACACACAATGACAAGTGGCACTCGACATGTCTCCTTTCCTTAGAAGAACTCCATGTGTCCTTCTTAACAAATCTAGATAAAAACGAGAATTCTCTTCTGTATTTGAATTCAAATCACGCGTTGAAATGTCATCCCTGTTGAACAATCTTCAAAATATATTTTTCTTCACATCTCATTCAACATATTTTCCTCACACAAAAATGCAGTTTCGACCAAACAAACAAATCTCATAAACCTGTCGAAATCCTCTCATCATTTCACATAATTCTTTTTATCATTCCTTTAATTAAAAAAACCAGGATTCGAATTTGTGAGCTAACAATCGGATGGACCAACAAGACTTGCACTTAATTTTCATTGACTTGGAGATGGCGTATGTGTGTCTAGAGAGATTTTGTGGAAAACCCTAGAGAAGAAAAGGGTTAGAATTGCATATTTTCGAACTATTCAAGATATGTATGAAGATATATTGGATAATATGTGGATACAAGGTAGAAAGAAAAAAAATTTATTTATTACAATAGGTTTGTATCTGAAGGTGAGAAAAATACACAAGAAGGGAGGTTGAATTGTGTATGCCAAAAGCAATTCGCATTTGAAAAGCAACTTTAAAATATGAACAAGGTTCAGAGTTTGATATTAGAATCTCTGATAGTAGCGTAAATAATAATGATCAGAAGCGATAAGCAAGCAACAACAAAGTTTATTTTGGTTCCTCTCCACAACTAAGACTAGTCAAGTCCCCTTGTCTCAACAAGAGATTTTCACTATAATCAAACTGATTACACTTTACTCAACCAAACTAGCAAGATACTTCACTGTTTAATCAATCCAGAAAGAGACTTCTGCTCAAGAAACCTAGCAAGAGACTTCTGCTCAATTAACCTAGAAAGAGACTTCACTTCTCAAGCACACGGGCAAGAGACTTCACTGCTCAAGCACGCAAACAAGAGATTTTTACTACTTTAAACAAATAATTTAGTAGAAAAAGATAACCATTATACTTAGATACACAATCAGAAGTATAGTAGTTGTGCAACAACCACAAAGGTTCTTAACCTCTTAAGGTTTCTAAGATAAACAAAGATAAGAAATCTTAAGGTCTAATGCAATAACAGTTACAAATAAAAGCTCAGAGTTGTGCTCAAGATATTATATTGTGTTGTTGTAACCTTCTTTTAAATCTCCAGTTTCGTTTTATAGAGGTAGAGAAAAAGTTATTGGAATGTTTAGCATAAGAGCTTTCTTAGTGAAGAAGCATGCCAAGAGACACGTTGGAGGATGTATCTTGTTAGAAACATTATCCACTAAATAAAGGCAATGTCCACAACATCTTTTGAAGTACTAGGTATCTACTAAGAGGCAGAACATGCTGAAGAGGTCAAATCACAATTTCTTGATTCTTGTAAAAAGAAACCCTAGTTAACTCTCTCCAGAAATTTGGCGCTTTGACAAGACTAGTCTACTTTTGGTACAGGGTACAGATTAGAGGCACCTTTAGCCTTTAGAGTCTGAGTTGTCACTAGAGGCTGGAACACATGACCAAAGTCTGAACCTTCAGAGGCAGAACTATTTTGTTCAGAGTCTGATCCTTCAGAGTCATCAGATTCTGATCTTCAAGAATCTAAGATGTTTTGCTTCTCCACAGATGCAAATATCATGATCAATATAGGGTTGAATTTTAAGCTTGTGATCATGCACACTTGAACATATGTTAGTATACTCATTTGTTCTTTAAATACTTTGGTATCATCAAAATTCAAGGGATATGAACACTCTTGTTCCAACATCCAAGAGTTAGCGTTGCAATGCATGATTTTTGCAGATGATATAATTTTACTTGAAAAGTTGAAGGAGAATTTAAATGAGAATGAGAATTTCACATTATCAAACAAAATATAATTAGCTCATAATGAGGTTAACAACAATCAAATACTCGGAAAAAAAATTAGATTACATATTCTTAAATAGAGGAGTATAAAAATGATAAGTTGTAAGCTTTTAAGCACTAATATAAAAATTGGATCGACCAACTCAATTGATTGGACAAAAAACTGAAGCTGGATTTGTTTCGGTTAACCTTACAAAACTACTTAAGGGTCAAAATAGAAAAAACTAAATTGAACGGTCTTAAATTATTTGAATCAAAAAAGTGGAGTCGGTTTTGTGCAACTGTCTAGGCAAAAGAAATGCAAACAATTGCTTGATATTTATTTGATTTATTTTAATTTTTAACATTTTAGTTCCTCCATTTTAAAACTTAATTTTTTTTTCATCTTTCTCCATTTTTACAGAGGTGGCATTAATGTGACAGTAATGACTAAGATAAATAAAATAAAATAATAACATCAATCTATGATATTGATGACTAGGAAAAAAAATATAAATATAATATTTTTTAAAATCATCTAATAAAATTATAATATTCGTTTAAATAATTAACAAAAAATTTCAATTATATTTTTTTTTTACCTAATTAACAATTTTTTTCATTTTTTTTTACAGAATTAACAAATTATAATTAAAAAATTATGATAAGAGAAGTTCAAACCCTAGCAGTAAAGAGGTAAAAAAGAAAGTATTATTTTTAACAATAGTGAACATTTTGTAAGAATTGAGAGTGTGTAAATAAAGTTAAGAGAGACTTGACTAAAGATTGTGATTAGATTCGAAAAGTAAAAATAATTATATAAAAAATAGAAAAGATAAATTACATAAAAATAATTAGAAAAAATAGTAAACATAAATAACATTAATAAAAGGAGAAACTGAAAAGTTGAAGTGGTAGTGAGTGGATAAATATAATTTAGTGGGATAGTTAATTACATGGAGACTATTTTTTTAACACAACTTAATTAAATATTGTTTATACTATAATATAATTAAATTATTTTAGAGAATTAAATTAAATATTTTTTATATTATAATATAATGAAGAGTATGTTGAATTAAGATGAAGACATAATAGGACATATTTGGACAAAAAGTTAGTTAATTTGTGATAAAACTAGAAAAATCTCAAATTCCACGTAGGAGCTAATTTCACTCAAAATTTAGACAAAGTCATATGTCATGGAGCATTTTGTGAAGCCATGACTCACAACATAGTCCACTACCTTAAAACGTGTACCTAAATTCTCTCCCTCTTCTTAATTAACAAACTCTTTTTTTCCACTTTACATCTCTTTTTAAGTCCACTAACTCATTTTCTCATAACATTACTTTTCACTTCATCAAACGTAACAACATCACTTGCTAGAGCTCCCTATAGAAAAATCCAAATATGGCTTCCATTTTCAATGCCTCAAACTCACTTTTCCTTTGCTTGATTCTCTTATCTGCCTCACAATTTTTGGTTATCAATTGTGCTGAGTTTGAAGTTGGAGGTAGAGTTGGTTGGGTTGTCCCTACCTCAAAAGACTCCGATGAAATGTATAACCAATGGGCTTCCCAAAATCGATTCAAAATTGATGACACTATTCGTAATTACTGCTTCTTAATTATTTTACTTTTCAATACATATGTACTTTATGTTTGAGTTTAGATCATTTCTATTTCATAGTCTTAGTCTTAGAATAGATTAATGATAGATAGATTAATGATATTGTTTTGAATATTTGTGTAGATTTCAAGTATGATAAAGACTCGGTGATGATGGTGACTGAAGAAGAATACGAAAAGTGCAAATCGGACCGGCCACTGTTTTTCGAAAACAATGGGAACACGGTTTACAAATTCGAACGACCGGGAATGTTCTACTTCATTAGTGGAGTTAGTGGTCATTGTACAAGAGGACAGAAAATGGTGATCAAGGTTTTGAATATTGAACCAATTACGGCACGATCACCACAATCTGCAAATGAGACTGCACCCATAGCACACTCTAAAGCTACTCAAATGAATCCTATTAGTGTCACAGCATTCACACTCTTTGTTCTTTCATTCCTTGGCATGGCTTATGTTTGAAGCATTACTAATTATTAGTCTTTTAGGTTAGTTTATGATTATGGTTTAATTCTAGGTGTTTTGTTTTGTTTTGTTGAGTATTTAGGAGTTTAGTTTTTTTGTTGCTTTAGTCATGTAGGGTTTAGAAGGTCCTTATTGTCATCGTGATGATATTGTTTACTTTTTAGTTAGTTTATATTGACATTTTCTATATGATTATTGCATTTGTCCTTAAATGTTCTATTATTTTTTGTTTGAAGTGACTTTTATGTTTTGGTAATGAATGGATGATATTGTGAAAGAAATCAACATATAAGGCTATCGTATTCCCTGATTTTTGTAAAATGTACTCAGACGGTCTACTATTAAAAGATGTTACAGAAATCTTCAACAATATTTTGCTAATAAAAATATATAATTTGAGCTTTTAAATTTTTTATTCTTGAAAATCTTGCACATAAGAGAATCTGTTTCCAACATAGTGGCGATATTGATCAGACAGGACAATACATTCCATTTTCCATAGCTAATTATATCAGTCTAAAACTTGAAATTTCTGATCAAATAAAACAAACCAATTTTTATTAATTTTTCCTTCATTTAATATAATTTGCCACTACACTTTGTTGCCATTGCTACAATTTAATAAATATATTTGAGTAGGAAAATAACTATATTTAATATAATTTGCCACTACACTTTGTTCCCATTGCTACAATTTGATAAATATATTTGAGTAAGAAAATAACTATTCTGTACAAAATATGTTAAATCTATGGTGAGCTACTAGATTGAACTTTGTAAAAAATATGTTAAATCTATGGTGAGCTACTAGATTGAACTTAGAGTTCTACTTCTATATGTGACGATATAAGGATGACACTTAAAAAGCTCTTTTGAATGATTCGGTTTAAATTGCAGTGAACAGTTTAATGTGTTATATAGGGGGGTGAGAGGCTTATACAGGGGTGACGGTTAAAACCATTTTGAATGATTTGATTTAGATTGCGGTGAACCGTTAAATGTATATCAGTGCACTAAAACGAAAGTTTTTGGTGATCGGCAAGATTGAACTCAGAGTCACCCTTCTGCAAGATTGAAGTCAGAGTCACCCTTTAAATTGTTGTGAACCTTTAAATGAACCACAACAAGGGTCTTTAGTGATGCCCAATAGCGTATTTAAATCAACTAAATGCCTGCTCAATACATAAATGTATATCTAGTTAATGCAATTAACAAAATCAATCAATTGAACTCAATTTTGTATTCCATTTCCATTGTTTTTCAGAAGCCAAGTATAAAAGTTAATGATAGAAATTAACAATAAAATAATTACAAACTGGAAACATGATAAGGCCAAATTATACAGGTACAAGGTAAGAATGCAGAGACATTTCCAGTTGTAGAAAATTCTTATGGCTTAAATAGTCTTATGTTGACTAACTTAAAGTTATAAAATCTAATTTAACAAAAATTCTACCAAAACTTTTTGAACTGTATCGCATCGTGGCCCGCTTGCTGTTAATGCCTCACAAACTGCCGCGTATCATCAGTATTTTGCTTTCCATAAGGATTGCTGGGGTTGAATCCATGTCTGCCTCCATCAACTCTACGTGTTTTCTTCCTTTGCTTACTGCTGCTTAAGTTTACACTTACATTTGGAGGGTTTGGAAAGCAGAACGAAGCTGCAACAGCCTGTTCAAAGTATATAAACTGGTATTATGACACTGTATTCATGCTTTAGAATCCAAACAATCTAACTTCACCAGTGATGATACTTTTCTATCACCGTGTTAATATGCTTATGAACATACTGTAGTTCTTGATTCGTATTTGGATAATAGCTTATTTGAAGGCAGAAAAAACATATACAGCTTTCTCAGAGAAAATATAGATCATGAAATGATTATTTCTCTAGCCTACCACTTAATGCACAAAGGCTACTAATGACATTTTTCTATTATGATAATCCTGAATTAAATGAATATTCAGATTGCTCATGTTAAATTAAGACAATAATTCTTTCTTATCCCTTGTGTCTTCCACTATTAAAATAAAACAAGAAAAAGGCAATGAATGACATTTAAATGTCTCAATATCAATTTTTTAAAGATCTAACTCAATCGGAACCCTTTCCAGTCTCTTGTCTAGATCTACACAATTGATGAACTAACCTTCAAAAATGTTCTCTAAATATGATGTTACCGTTAAACTAGGAATTCAAACAAAACAAAAAAAACCTCCGTTAATCTATATTGATTTTGTTCACTAATTTATTCTTACTAATTAACCATTCCATTTGCCCCTATTCTTGAAGCTTTTGGTCAAAATGAAAGAATATATAAGTTCCCAGTAACAGGTGATTTATACTGTCAAGGCACAAGAGCTTAACTACATAAGATCAATTTAGACAATATATTTAATGAAATAATTATAAAATATAATATATTCCAAGAGCTGTACCTGCAGATCGAGGCGTTGAACATTGAATATATCCTTTGAGGAATGTGAATCATATGCTAATAGGTATGATCTATATGCTTCCTTAGCCATTTTGTTCAAAAAATGATTTTCAGCAAGCAAATTCTCCTACACAATGCAAAAGTTCCTTTGTAACATAAGCTGCAGTTGGATACTTTAATAAATAAAATTTTATTTAACCCAATGAAGAAGAAGTATACCAGGTGAGACTGTATATTAGCCACCTTCTTTTCATCATAAGCATATTCTTTCACAGGGACCTTAGCTATCTGAAATAAGGATAAATACAAAATTTATTATTTGGGATGAGACAATCATAAATTTTATTACAAAAATAAGCAGAGTCCAGGAGCCTAGGGGAAATAGCAATCACTTTTTCCATATATCATGTACTCTGGGCATGAAGCTCGCAGTTGAAATACACTCAAATAATGTCTTGTTGCTAAGAAGCACGGAGACCTCTGGTTTTCAGCATGTTCCATGCCAACACACATACAACATTTGTACCTCACGTTTCTGTGTATAACATCAATGTTGATGTCTTGCAGTTTGGAAATTAGTAGTGTCCATATGTCCGTGCTTCATAGATCGCAATACTTAAAGCTGGTGTTCTGTCAGGTAAGGCTGTCTAGTCTTAACAATTTAACATTAAACCTTAACCAACAACATTTTATAATCTTTTCTGGGTGTCATAGCGCTATGTTTCCCTTTTTATTACTTTGATATGTTCTCAGATAAAGTAAATGCATGTGCTGACAAGTTAATAAATTCTGGTTCAGCATCAGCTAGCTTAAGATCCGCTACTGTTAAGTGAGAGAAACTGACCTTTAGATAGCGAAGAAACTGCAATTCTTCAGGAATCAGGAAAAGCAAGGCATTGCCTTTTCCACCTTCCCCACGAGCTGTTCTACCAACCCTGTGAATATATTCCTGTTTGCAGGATAAAACACACATTATGCTACTGTACATCAACATATAAGACTGCTAAGAAACAAATAAAAATGTAATTTGTCCAATCAATAGAATAGCAGGAAGTACCTTTGGCTCATCAGGCGGATCATACTGCACAATCCAGTCCTACAACATAAATAAGGGGAGTAAGATAAAACAATTACCTAAAAATGATTTTCAATAAACAGAATACATTGCTGCATAAGCACAATAGTTCATTCAAGATATGTTTAATCAATATGGAGGATTAATCTGGCTAAGAATTCCAACTTAGGTTTTGGTTACCCCCTTAAGATCTACAGATCCTCTTCTTACATCAAATCTTTCATTTTAGCTACAGTGATGTTTACTTGATTACAAAGTTATTTCTTGCAAGCCACAACAAGCTTTGTGTTTCCCATATTCTGATACTGGAAAGTTATTTACCTTTCATACCCAGCTGTTAGGTATTTCTGGTGTACACCCGTGCTTTTGTGAATATCGGGATTCATGTTGTGTGAACTATCTCAAATGTCATTCAGAGCAAGGTTATCGATATCTCCATCTAGAGTAGAAACGTGGATTGTACCCAAATTGTGAAAAAAATCATAAAACCATTGATTTTGTGCGATCTTGGCCCGTTCCGGACATGATCAGCCTTTCCCGGCCACCACCATTACAGACCGCGAAGGATGACAAGATGCAGAAGCACTACGATTACAGTTTGGCAGTGACAAATGCATGCCTTTTGAAATGATGAAGTTTAGATTTAGAGTTTAGAGACTAAACATCTCAATTGTAGGATTGTTTTAAATAATTTACTAGTGAAAATATGTCCCTAATGTCTAACAAATGTTTTTTATGGCAAATGGTAATAAAGTATAAAAACTCAATCATACATGTCTAAAGAATATGAAACATGGTCATTTTCCCATGAACACATTTACCTACCAAAATATATGTAAAAGTACTTCAAATATATAGTTTATATAGTATTATTTTTTCGTTTTGGTGGTATCTTACGAATTTTGTTATGATCTTATGATTTACGAATTTTTTTACCCCCTCTTGATCTTACAAAAATAATTGGGCAGGGTCTTCAGATCTTAGTTACAATCTTGCTATCTCTTCCCGGTCATATGCAAGATCCCGATCTTGACAACCATGATTCACAGCATTTGGGTGGTGTACACTATATTATGAAAATTGAAAAATGATGATAAATAATAGAATTTTCAAGTACATCGTTGCCATTGGATCTTTATAGCAGGCTAAAGTTGTCTTCTTACCCTTGTTATGCCGCGCACCTAATGGTTAGAGGGGTGTCATTTAATATGTAGAGAATGCAGCAAGTTTTGCATAATAAATGTGATTTTCATGTCTATTCTAATTCTAATTTTTATTTTGTTTACAGTAGGAACTTTTATATCCCTTGCTCTGGTGTTTTTTGTCTGGAGGTTTCTTATTTAGGTTAGGTAACCCCAATACTATATACTTCAATAATATTAACTTTCTTAAGTTTCTTTTCTTTAGATAGTACTTGACAATAGATTAGCCAATTTCATACTCAATACTGGGAAGCCCTGATAAAACTAGCCAAAATGAGTCATGTTCTTCCATCAAAACATTCAAGTAAGTTGATAAGAAAGATGAATATACCACAGATGGTATGTCCAAACCACGAGCAGCAACATCAGTACAGAGCAAGACCCCATTTTCTGCTTTGCAGAAGTCTCGGAAAGCAGCAGTCCGGGTCTGCTGCTTTTGTTTTCCATGAATATCTGAACAATGCAGATTAATGTGATTGAAAATGTCCGCGTGGAATTTGACACTGTTGCATGAAGAGAAAAAGACCATCACTTTTTTTGATTGGTGCCTCTTCAAGAAGGAATAGAGAACACTAAATCGCTTGGCACATGGAACAACAACATAACCCTGTAGCAATCCTTCATTTGTGACCTGCATTTATGAGTTCCGTCTCAGATATGATGATAATGCTGATGAACAAAGTTCAAAGACTAGGATAAATTCAGTGAACACATCACCTTCTTTCTTCCATCATCTACATCAATATAGACAGGAGTCGTTTGAAATGACAGGCGAGCAAGATCTTCAACCTATATTTTAAAAGAAAAATATGATTCAGAACCTAAAACTGAAAATGAGAAACAGCATTCCTCAATTCTTGCAAATAAACCACTCATTAAAAAGTATATAATTCTAATTGATAGAGCCAAAACTGAAAGGAGAAGTGTACTCTCACTTTCAAGTACAGTGTATCCGAAGTAAACAAAGAAACTTGTACGAAATTTATTAAAAAATGAATTAGATGAAAATAAACTTTTGGTGAAAGAAATTGATGGAAGATGGAAAATGAAGAACAGACCTTCTTTGTTTGTGTAGCTGAAAATAAAGCTGTCTGCCTACTCTGTTGAATGAGAAGTAGATCAATTAGTCAAGCCCACAGATATCATTTAAGAACACAAGCCACATAACACATGTAGTAAGCAGAAATTATAGAAGCCAGATTAAATTAAAAATATAGAAGAACATCTCATCCAGCCTAAAATGGTTGGCCATAATATAAAAATATGAGCTACATGACCATGCATTTTTAGGCCAACTGCAAGCAGCTGTTGACATTCAAAATCAACAAACTTTTAGGCAGAATTCATGATTGTATTTTTGCTCTATGGTAAGAAATAGACAATAGTAATGCTGGTAAATTTTAAATTACTTCAAGTCCTTTTTGCTAGGCGTTTTCTGGCTCAATTATCCAATCCACAAAAAAATAGGCTGGCCAAAGCAATTTAAAGAAACCACCATTATAATTTCATAGGCACAGCATTATAGATACCTTTGGGAGGAGCTTGATAATCTGCTTCAATTCATCCTCAAAGTTTGCTTCCAATAGCCTGTCAGCTTCATCAATAACGAGGCACTGCCAACAAGTTCAGGAATATAAAAGTAAGAGAATAGCCTGAATCTACGCTATATGCATCCATGCATCTACTTATTTCAAGAGCAAATGGGAAGGACAAATGAATAATGTCACAGCGTATGTAAGCATAAAATAAATATCAGTCAAAATACATGATGAATAAACTTCTCAATAAGATCAAATAGACATTTTGTAGCCAAGATGTTCACATGATGAGCATTGAACAATTACATGTATATTCTACAAAAAATGCTTACATTAATGATAAGCAGCAAACACTTGTGTGTACATTCTACAAGAAATGCTTACATTACTGATAAACATCAACCACTCAAAAACCATACTGATGAAAAAAACACATCATTAATAAATACTAGATCAATGATAGGTCGCATGGAAATAAAGAATGATATCTTGATCTAAAAGTGTTTCAGATTATCTATTAGAATTGTTCTATAGGTGTTTATATTATCTTGAATAATTTTTTTTATTTAATTAGGATTAGGAGCCTAGAACTACTATATATATGGATTAGTGTTTAGTTTTCCGTACTATCAAACCATGATTACGAGGCAAAGTGTTTATTTTTCCTCTTCTCTCCTTCCTTATCTAAAAAAATCCTAAAACTCAACACCAGCATCAGCAATGAAATATGTCTATATTTTAGTGAAGCAAAATAGAGAAACAATTACTGGAACAACTCATTATATATACCTTCAGGTTATTATATACGAACCGCTTGGTATTTTGTAGATGATCCAGAAGACGACCAGGAGTAGCTACCAATATATTTATCCCTTTAGCAAGTTGTTCAGCTTCGGTTCTTCTAGCTGAACCTCCCATAATCAATCCAAGAGTTTGTGAATGATACTTTAGAAGCTTCTTGGCAACATCATGGGTCTAAAAGAAATGTAAAATCAGCAAATAAGGAACTAGATAACAAAATCCGCTTACATCAAACATGATAAAATATCACAAAGAATAACAAAAACTGTAAACCTTTCAATAGGGAATTTTTGTAACTGTAATTTAAAATGATAAGCTCCCATAAACTATAAACTAGTCCAAACTGCACCTCTATCATTTAACATCTCCATACAAACCATAAGCTCTTTAAGACCATCAACTTATTTTCATAGAAAAGTTCACATAATCATAAGCTAGAAATTAATCCAAATTTTACCATAATTCCAATTGCACAGTTTAAGTATACATCAACACGGCCAAGAAATATTTATCAGCAAAATCTAGTACCTGAATGGCAAGCTCTCTAGTGGGACATATGACAACAACACCAGCTCCACTTCGAGGATTAAACTTAAGCTTGTACAAAAGCTCCACGGCAGGAATTAAAAAAGCAAGAGTTTTACCAGAACCAGTCCTTGCAGCACCAAGAACATCTTTTCCACTCAAAAGGGGCGGAATTGATCCTGCTTGAATCTACATTGATAACAACATGGTCAATTCTAATTTCTAACATTAGATTATCACAAAATTTTCAGAAATTCGTTGATTACCTGAGTCATGTGTTGAAATCCTATATCTGTAATGGCTTTAGAAGTAGGTACAGATAATCCGAGAGAAGCAAATGACTCGGCGCTCATAATTCCAGAACCACTATTATCCTTAACCTTTTTCTCTTCTACTTCATTTTCTATTTCCACCTCCTCTTTCTTCTTCTTCGTCTTATTCGATGATTCTCCGTTACTATGAGTATCATTCACATCTTCTTCTTCTGCTCCGTTTTGCTCCTCAACAATTTCACGGAGTCTCTTTTTGTCGCGCTTCTTCTTCTTATGTGTATCAATAGGTGAAGCTTGAATTGTGTTTTCTGGTTCGGCCATGATTTGCGAAGTTACACAGTTTCAATCACTGTCTTCTTCCTCGTTGTTCAACTCTTTGTTCTTAAACCCTAATTACGAACTCACGGACGTTTGTTTGTGTGCGTTGGTAGCAGGGTTCTTTTCCGCCTCAATGCACTAAATCTAGATCCCACAATTGTCGAGTTTAAGCAATAATTTGTTATTAATAATTTAAAAATAATATTTATCACTAATATATGATAACATATATTAGTGAAATAATTATATTGATAATTTGAATTCATGAAATTGTGATCAATTATTTGCAAATTAAAAAAAAATGAATAATTAAATTAATAGTTTATGAAAAGAAAAAAAATAAAAATATAAAATTTATTATTTTTGTATTGATTAATAGAAATAAAAAATAAAAAATAAATGTGTTATACAAAAAATTGTAAAAAAAAGTAACAAAAACTAAAAATTAACGTTGCCAAAAAAATTAAAATTTAGTTACACTTAAATACATTTAAAACAATAATTGACAAATAAAAAGATATTTTTTAAAAGAATGTTAAATACATTATTAAATAATGATGGTATAATAGTTATTTGTTTGTAAAGTTGTTATTTTATAATAAGATTATATTTAAATTTAATTTGTTGAGATATGTTTTAGATATTGCGATGTTGTAGTGCTTAGTCTGAAAAAATGATAATAATAATAATAACGAAGATTTATTAAAGAAAACTATTATTATTAGCGTTACAAAAAGAAATTTGAAATAATTAATTTTATATACATTATATTTGTTTGCGAAAATAACATTGAATTCTGCCATCAGATTTGAATATATTATATTCACAAAAATCGCTTATTCGGATGTTAATTTAGTACGGTATGAATCTTCATTGTTCAACAATATAAGTATCTTTGTCTTTCTATTATCACCATATAAGAAAGTGATGGTCATAATCTTTTAAAATTATTGCAAAGTCTGTCTTCAATTACTATCAAATAATAGTGGAATTAGTTTAGTCAAGTTAGAAAAAAACAAATTTAATGTAAATGAGAATAGATAGAGAATTGCAACTAATTTTGGTAGTGTCACACTAATAGGTGTCAGAGTAAATTCAAATGAAAAAATGTCTTTGTAGTTGAGAAATTTACCGTGATAACGAGGTAATTGTTCAATATTGAACAATTGTTTAAAATTGTTGATTACGAAATTGTTGTTACCATAATATTCGACTTTAATAACAACATCAGTTGGTAAATTGTAGAACGTCTCAACATCTTTCCATTCACTGATTATGAGTGGATGATCTTAATCTTTGTTATAGATTATGACATGATGAACATCTTGGTTGTTCAATACGATTCACGTTTTTGTTATGTCATTTTCATAGTGATTAAGAAAAGAATGATCAATTTCAGCAAACATTTGCACGTGAAAAATTTTATAGGAGTAATATAAAGGTTACCGATTAATAAAATCAAAAAAGAAATAAAAAATTATGGTAATAAATAAAAAGACTTACTTGTGAATATATTTTAACAATTGAGAAGGAGTAAATTATGGAAGTGTGAAGAAGAATTTCAATCACTTTCATTTTTTAATTGCGAGAGTGGATGCAAGAAAATAAGAAAAAATATTTTGTTCCTGATATTGAAATGGTTGCTATTTGGAGGTGATAAGAAGAAAGTATAAGTGGTAATTATATTTATATTACTTGGTATAGGATACCACATACATATCTTCCTGGGCCAGCAGTAATAAGTGCAACACACGTGAATGAAAGTGTGCAGATCAATATAAAAATATCATGTGCAATGGACTCACAACTACATATAAAGTTATACTGAAAATACTAAACATATAAAATGAAAATAAAAGTGTGATATACTCAACAATAATTGTTTCTAATATAAAATTAATGAATAAGGTTAAGTTATCTACTCAAACCACTTTTGAAGATATAAAATAATAAATAGTGAGCGTGTTTGCAACAATAATTGTTATAAAAAAATTGAAAAGGTGAATTTTATCTCTTCAGCTTACTTTATGACTTATAAAAAAGAAGGATGTAAACAATTACCGCATTTTGTTCTTTCTAGGATATTTAATTTGTTATTGTACTTACTATATTAAATCTAGCATAAAGTGAACAATTAACTAGTGTTGTCATTGTTCTTTAAATTTATTGAGAATGCATGTCAACAATATCTCCTTTAATATTCATTTCATCTTGAGCGTTGGGTAACTGAAATGATGGGTCAGTGAATTTAGTTATCACTTTATTAGAATTAACATATCAGTCAATTTAATTATGACACCTACGTAATTTTTTACTGTGAAATTTGATAAACAAACACAAGTTTCTATTAATACTTGAGTGATAAAACTCAAAAATCTCTTGGAACATATTTGCGTGCGTTTGTGACTCTGAAAACCATTTTGTTGTTCAAATCAAATTGTATTTCTTAAAAATGTTTGTTGTGATTTCTAAATCACACTTGAAGTAAAGAAAGACTTTAATGGTGAAAAGGGACTAAAATCGAAATGTTAGTAAAGTAAAAGTGTGAAATCGAAATGCAAGTAAGATAGAATGACATAAATTATAAAGGAAAACGAAAGGTAATCTAATGCACAAAAGGTACTTGAAAGTAAAAATGCTTGAAGTGTGTAAATGGTGGAATGCATGCGTATATTTTTCCTCACTCGTTTCTCAACACACATATACTTTGAGTTTGCAGAAATATGTGTACAATTGTGGACCCCCTACATTGTGGACATGAGTCCCCTTATATATTATTCTTAGATAACTTCCTAAGAACAGTCGATAAACCCTAGTGTGACACATCTTAAATTCATGCAATGGTTCCTTCCGACGAGCTCCCATGTACTTTTGAATAACTGCCTATGTTAAATTAATTCCCGCTCTTTAACACCATTCAAATATCATAACTAATTTTACTGGTCACCAAAAACTAACCAACCACGTTGAGGTCTTTGAAATCGATCATACTACGACAACACACTCTATAGTACTTTTCACATGTAGCGTCCAAGTTGAACATTGTTTTCATTATAGTGATAAACTTCAACTTTAGCCAACATAATATAGTACTCAATTTCACTAAGTCCTCAAAATTTTCACAATGTTCTTCAAATCTACCATCTTCGACCGGTATCACTATTCGTGACCTCTGACCTAGAGTCAGCCTGATTTTCATGTGACTCCATTCTATTTTGACCTTCCACGTGGCATGTTTATTGTTAATCTCATTAATACTTGCCAATTATAACTAAGTAAAAAAATCCAAGGTAAAGAAGTTGTCCCCCAAAAGGCCATGTTTCGATTTTCATCAAACAAGAGAGACATGGCCTTTTTTTATCGTATATTTCGACTTCGTTTCACTTCTCCTGGCGTCATCATTACCCCTTTTACGGCATATTGTCATTTTTCATGAGATTCGCTCAAAATATCATCATTACTCCTACTTCCTATGAGATCATGGATTTGCACGTCAGTCATAACTGCTCCCACTCACATTAATGCAATGTTTAAAAACCCATGAAACGCTTTAATCCCTCTCACCCGGGCGCCACATGTTCGATTCAAAACATGCATTAAAGCTTGTAAATACTTTATCCCAGCTCATTTGCTCTTCTTTTTCATTTCTTCTTTCTTGTACGCTCTCTTTCAGACAGCAAACAAAACCCTTTTTAGTTTTCTTCAAAAAACTTTCATCTTTAACCATGGCCAACAGTCAAACAATTCCTTTAAAACTGACATCGGGAATAACCCATTGGCCTTCACCATTTCATCAGAAGAGAGTGAGGAATCAAGGGATTTCCTTCTTGAACCTCCGCTTAACAATGATAAGATTGTTATTCGGGTAAGACAAATGTTGATCCCTTACTCTCTATCCAACAAACTTTGCGCCTTTCTGGGGCCTTACCATACCAAGATGTCACAAGCTTCAAAGCTCACATGATTTTTCCCATGCTATTCAATTACAATGCCTTATGCGTTTGAGCAGCACGCTCTCAACCTATCTTTCATGGTCAAACCTAATTGGATGTTTCGATCTGCTCCACCGACTCTGACGAAAGAGTATATAGCATGGCTCAATAAAGTTCAATCTAAAAAAGAACAACAGTAGGAGAAGTTAGGTATTTACGACATGGTGTATCTATCTAGGACTTGCCTTAAGTACAATATGGCCATGCTATTAGCTTCGATCTTATTCTAGGAAGGATCGACCAATATGTTTCAGTTTGTAGCCTCTATCACAGGTTTAAATCCCTTAGGCTTGATTTTCTGTCCAACCCTAAAAACCCAACATTAATTCAACCTTGACCACTTTACTTATAAGAATTTTATTTTTGAAAACCACGACATAGTCAACGAAGAAGTCTCCGACCAGGAGCATATAACCTTCTTGGCTTTCTGGTTATCCTTATGTCTTTTACTCCAGCTCCTGCTAGTGGCTGAGAAATTCGTTCCCCTAGCCATCCAGCTTCATAAAGGTTGAAAGATCTCCTTGAGTAAACTTCTTCTGGCTAACCTCTACCAATCCTTTTGAGAGGCCTCTTAGAAATTGAAACATCTCCCTGAAAACACCAAGAGTAAGTCTTTCCTAGTTTCAGGTCCTTTATGGCTCTTACAACAGTGGTTGAATGCCACTTTTGAAACAGAGCTTCATATCACTAAATATGAAGCTCTAATGAAACAAAATAAAGGTGTGGCTATTGAAGGCACTAGGTTGGCTCTGGCCACACCCCAAGAAAACTTTTTGCCAAGGATTCTCATCAAAAACGTAAACATATTCCTTGAATCTACAGCCTTCGATGGGTCAATGGCCCCTTTTGTGGATCACTTGATTGGCACATCTTGGCTTAGAAACAGGTTCCCTGGCATCTTTCTTTCAGCCTTCGCATGTTGAATGCGTTTTGGGTTGTTTTTCTTACTTCTACGCTCTTGTCGACCAGAATTAAAGCTGATACTCCTGGTTATGGCTTTGTTGGTTACCA